GGGTGGATATAGCTCGCTAGCAGCCTCGCACCGAGGACCTATCCACATCATCATTTACCCAGAATGCTTTGTGTGTAAATAAAATGGCTCTGTCCGTGTTAAAATATATTTTTAAAAATTACAAAACTATACAGCCTACAGTATTTTTTAGTCTTTATTTTACAGTTAAAATAAATGTTTATCATATAAAGTCTAATGTTACAACTAATCTTGGATCCCTTTAACCTCTTTTTTTAATCTGAGATCAGAACTAAAACTTTTATTATCATTATTTTGTTTTCTATTTACACACTGGGCACCGGGAATTTTGCACCTAAATTTATTTCAGCTTCAGTCCAGCTGTGGTTAACTCAAACTCATGTCAACAAAATGAAATGTTTATTTTATTAATTTGTTTCAGTTGAAAGTTGTTTGTTCTGAATCTCATTGGTTCTGGTCTCATTCTGGTTCCAGGAACCTTTCAGGGTCAGTGGGTCGGTGGGATGCGCCACGGCTACGGCGTCCGTCAGAGCGTCCCGTACGGCATGGCGGCCGTCATCCGCTCCCCTCTGCGCACCTCCATAAACTCCCTCCGCTCCGGGTCGGAGCACAGTAACGGTACGGCTCTGCTGGACCGCACGGGGGTGCTGGTTCCCGGTCCCGCCACGGTCCCGGGCACTCTGACCGCCAGCGTGTCCGTGTGCAGCACGGGCAGCAGCGGCAGCAGCCCCGCGGTGTCCCGGGGGGGCTTCGTGCTGACGGCGCACAGCGAGGCCGAGCTGCTGAAGGGGAAGAGGAAAGGTGGCCTGTTCCGGAGGTCCATCCTGTCCGGCCTCAAGCTGAGGAAGTCCGAGTCCAGGAGTTCCCTGGCCTCGCAGCGGTCCAAGCAGAGCTCGTTCAGGAGCGAGGCCGGGATGAGCACCGTGTCCTCGGCTGCATCAGACATCAACTCCACCATCAGGTAACATGAGTCCAGTTAAACCCAATCAGAACCAACACTTTCCCTTTTATTACACCTTTCATACAGACGGTGTTATACAAAGTATCACAAAGTGATACTTGAGTAAAAGTACAAGTATCTTACCAAAAAAGTACTTTGGTAAAAGTTAAAGTCTTCTTTAGGAATATTACTTGAGTAAAAGTACAAGTATCTTACCAAAAACTTACTTTGGTAAAAGTTAAAGTCTTCTTTAGGAATATTACTTGAGTAAAAGTCAAAGTATTGATTTGAAATGAGCAGATTTTCTGTAAGGACATTTATTAGGACAGGGGTCAGCAACCTATGTGGCTGTTTGGTCCCTCTGCAGTGGCTCTTTGAAAATATGACCAAACATAACAG